AAATCTCGGGCACAGTTTACTCTTCTAAGTTTTCCGGTAGCTATTTATTACCTGGAGTTTGGTCCAAGTGTGTGGTTTTGGACCAGGTGAGCGCTGATGAAATAAGTTCATTAACATACAAGCGAGCGATCGCCTACGGTCAAAGAAAAATTTCTTTTCAGATTTTTTTTTAACAATTTCTTCTCCCAAATTTCTCTCAAAAAAATTCCAATTTATTTCTTGTGGGGGGGGGGGGGGGCTATTTGTAAAACGAACATCGAAATGACCTTGACCTTCCTTCATCGGCGCTCACTTGGTTCAAAACCACACACAGAGGACCAGGCTCCGGGTTACCTATTTAGAGTGTTTTCCGGTATTTAGTGTTTTTCCGGTGTTTTCCGGTATTCAGTATAAAATGGTGTTTTCCGGTATATAGTATTGCCGAGAAAATTTAGCTGGGATTCCCGTTGTCGGTCGTCCAGGACTAGAGAGCGGAGCAGTCTATCAGATTGGACAATAAATGGGTTTACGTTGGCGTGACGTAAAAGAACCCTTGGCAGTTGGGGATTTTATACACCCCCATTAAAATGGCTTGTATTTTCGTCAATTTATTTTCATTTAATAGTATAAGGCCCGTTTCATTACAGGCAACGCTTACGATCGACACTCGAATGCATTTCCTAGATCTTAAGTCGTTTATGGTTGACAATGTCATTGACATTGAAATGTTTTTACAATGGTTAGACACACCTATGACATTTCACGTATTTTCAGTGATTACTTTCAGCATCACTTTGTAATATGGTGTAAATGATCGAGGTATCTATAAACTAATCGATGCTACAACCTACATATGTACTGCTTTGATTACTACCGGAAAACACCATTTTATGCTGAATACCGGAAAACATCCTAAATACCGGAAAACACCCTAAATAGGTAACCCGGAGCCTGGTCCTCTGTGTGTGGTTTTGGAACAAGTGAGCGCCGATGAAGCAAGGTCAAGGTTTTCTTTCTCCAAAATTTTGTCCATGAGAAAACTACATATTCTATCTTACTGCATTGACGGGAAGTGGTAAGCTGGGCGTCTTTGAAAAGGGTTGATCGATAAATTTTCAAGGAAGCAATTGTTGTTTTGTTTGTGAAAAAGGGGACTCTAGCCGATGAGACTACTTCCCCCCCCCCCCCCCCCGAGAACCAATTTGTTTTATGTACTACTATCGTAATAAAACATTACTATGTTAACCACTTCCTGGTGGCTGAAGACTTACACCGAATGCGTATTCGGAAAAAAATGTCCCCGAGAAAATGTTTTTTCAGACAATCGATCTTCGAGATGTCTTCTGTTGCACAAATTATGCTGCACTGTGTAAGAACTTGCATCCTTTGATCTGAAGATTGTAGATGGAAAAGTATCATTTGCACTATTTCAAAGTAAACCTGCATTTTCGTATATCATCCCGTAATTTGTGACTGGACAATTCCACCCCCGTCCCACTCTGACGATGATCCCTCCCGGAGCGGCGCGGCGCGGCGCGCTCTCTAAAAAAATCTCGGGCACAGTTTACTCTTCTAAGTTTTCCGGTAGCTATTTATTACCTGGAGTTTGGTCCAAGTGTGTGGTTTTGGACCAGGTGAGCGCTGATGAAATAAGTTCATTAACATACAAGCGAGCGATCGCCTACGGTCAAAGAAAAATTTCTTTTCAGATTTTTTTTTAACAATTTCTTCTCCCAAATTTCTCTCAAAAAAATTCCAATTTATTTCTTGTGGGGGGGGGGGGCTATTTGTAAAACGAACATCGAAATGACCTTGACCTTCCTTCATCGGCGCTCACTTGGTTCAAAACCGCACACAGAGGACCAGGCTCCGGGTTACCTATTTAGAGTGTTTTCCGGTATTTAGTGTTTTTCCGGTGTTTTCCGGTATTCAGTATAAAATGGTGTTTTCCGGTATATAGTATTGCCGAGAAAATTTAGCTGGGATTCCCGTTGTCGGTCGTCCAGGACTAGAGAGCGGAGCAGTCTATCAGATTGGACAATAAATGGGTTTACGTTGGCGTGACGTAAAAGAACCCTTGGCAGTTGGGGATTTTATACACCCCCATTAAAATGGCTTGTATTTTCGTCAATTTATTTTCATTTAATAGTATAAGGCCCGTTTCATTACAGGCAACGCTTACGATCGACACTCGAATGCATTTCCTAGATCTTAAGTCGTTTATGGTTGACAATGTCATTGACATTGAAATGTTTTTACAATGGTTAGACACACCTATGACATTTCACGTATTTTCAGTGATTACTTTCAGCATCACTTTGTAATATGGTGTAAATGATCGAGGTATCTATAAACTAATCGATGCTACAACCTACATATGTACTGCTTTGATTACTTAATTCATGTGGCGGTATGTTCCTAAAAACTCATATTTAATTTTGGAATTGGTTGTTGGAGTGGTCTAATGCGTGCGTTTTGGATAATAAGGGTTTTCAGTGAGTCAAGTGGGGCGGTTTCCATCCCGAAATTATTAAACCTTTCTATGTATATAACTTAATTAAATCAACCTGTCCATAATATCATATATACTATTCAAAAAAAGTAGGGGATATTTGATTTTTAAGTGTTATTAAAGTCACCTAATGAAACTGACGAAGAAACAAATGACAAAATGAAATGAAGTTCACATTCATCGATTCATTCCAAATGATCGTTAGACTAAGTATAGGAAAAGACTGACCATTATAAGGGTAAAATGATACCCGGGGTCAAACAGCAAAGTTACCACAGCATCACAACCAAGTCAGTAACGGGTAAATCCTCCTCTGTTTGCCAAACAAGCATTGATCCGACGTGGCATACTCCTAATGAGACGTCTAAGGTCATTTTGGTCCAGATTGTCCCATTCCTGTTGCAACGCAGCAGCAAGTTCTTGGACATTGGCAGGACGTTGTTGATTTTGACGTAACCTCTGTCCAAGCATGTCCCAGACATGCTCGATGGGGGAGAGGTTGGGACTCAGTGCTGGCCAAGGTAATGTGGTGATGCTCTGTTGTTGGAGGTAACCTGTAACGATCCTGGCCCTGTGACATCTTGCGTTGTCATCCTGGAAGATGAAACGGCGGTCATGACGTCGTGCGAACGGCACAACATGGACTGCCAAGATGTTGTCCCGGTAGTACTGGCCTGTAACACGCCCTGCAACAACATGTAAAGCCGTTCTTCCAGCAACAGTGATGCCTCCCCACACCATAACAGAACCACCCCCAAATCGATCATGTCTGATGACGTTAACGTCTTGGAAGCGCTCGTTTCGACGACGCCACACCCTCCTACGTCTGTCCAAAAAATCAACAGTGAACCTTGACTCATCTGAAAACATCACATTGCTCCAGCGTCGATAATCCCAGTGTTGACGATCCCTACACCAACGACGTCTTGCCTGAATGTGATGATCTCTCAAACAAGGGATCACGCGAGGACGTCGGGCGCGAAGGTGACCCCTATGCAGTCGATTCCGAATCGTCTGACCACTCACTCTCACACCAGTGTCTGTTTGAAGACGAGCGCTGATCTGATTTGCTGTGATGACACGATTTCTCAAGGCCAAGGTACGGATAAATCGATCCTGGGCTTGAGTTGTCGCCCTTGGTCGACCTGAGCGTGGTCTGTCCTGTACAGATTGTGTATCACGGTATCTGGACCATAGCCTGCTTATGACAGACTGAGAAACATTCATCGTCCGCGCCACAACCGCCTGTGTTGTGCCGATCTGTAGCATGCCAAGGGCACGTAACCTTTCATTTTGGGTAAGCCGACGCATATCAAAATTTGTTTTCTGGTCACTAAAACAATTAAACTGATGTTTCCACCCTGGAATTCAATGCCACAATGACTGTAACATTCAAAGTCAGAGTCGTGCAAATCTTGGGTTGGACCCCCATGATGATCCCAAGCATCACCTGCATTCCATGCGGTAGCTATTGGTGCGTTTGGGCGTCACATGTAACTGGAAATGTTTCTTCTGTTAGGTTCTATAGTGACTTTTTTCGTAGTCATTTGCATATTTTAGTATTATGCCCCCAAAATCAAATATCCCCTACTTTTTTTGAATAGTATATATTACAATGTATTGGACCTTAAACATATAATAAACAACAACAATTAATCCCGAAATGGCATGGTTTGTGTCGAATGGACGTTAAGCCCCATTTCTAACTTCGAATGTTTGATAAAGTTCTTCTGATTTGTAGTTTAGCAGGAAGAACGAAATTGATGTTTTCGTAATCCCAATTGTGTGCAGCAGACATTTGGATCAAATTTATATCACACAATACGAAATAGTTATAACACAAAAATATTAAAGATTTTATTAGTTATTGATAAATTACACTGTATGTATAAATCGGAATCGGGGTAACAATGGTGGCTAACTGGCATATCGATATCTGTATTTTGGCCACTTCAATTGAGTAAAAGATACATGTATGTTACTGACTATTGACCAGGAAACTGCAAAACAAAACACCTTGCGTCAAATGTTTTCTTGATATTATTATTAAATTTCCCAAACCCCAAGGTTTAATATTAATTTAATATTGCTGGAGTAAATATCTCTTCCAAATTCAAAGTCACGCAAAATCAAGAATCATTAATATCGAGTGTCTGAGAGTTAACTCCCTTGAGAGTTCGTGGTGAAATATGGATGCGTGTGAATCTTCTGTTTTTTCAGACAGGAAGAGAACATTAATTTTGACTATTTGGTTGATCTTAAGACTACCGATATTGATTGAAGAAAGTATTCTTGGGGTAGTGAATTTCATTTTCAATTGTTTGAAGATATCCTGATGGCAGTTAATTATCCCTTAGCGGATTAATACTTTAAACAATAAACATTCGTTTGACTGCCACCGCTTAACCAAATAATATGTCATCAAAGAAACCCGTTAAAAAGTCAAATGATTACTATTCATGATTAAAGAGTAAGGCACCCCCAATAACTATTTATTTACCCTTTTCAGTTGTGAGGTAGAAAAGAGAAGAGGTCGATGATGTATGTTTATTACTAACCCACGCTATTTATTAGCTGTGTACTAAGATAACTAAGCAGTAGCCTACAAGACAATCTGGAATGTTTGTTCATCTAAGCATGGTAAGTACAATTATTTTTAAATTCAACGACAGCCTTCAATTCATCTTTATACACCTATATAAATCGTTTACTAATAAATCAACTTTTACAATCGCCACAAACCGGTAAACATTTCATTGGAATCTGGTGAGTAGCACGAAAGTAGCTCTAATCGGTTGAGCAGGCAAAATACAAATCGCGAACCAGGATGGGCTTTAAATTTTGGATAATAAATCTAGTTGAATTTCATAAATGATTTGACAATATATTCATTGTGAGATTAACAGTGCCCCCCTTCAAATAAACATTGAGACCAATGTATTTCCTAACATATATTCTGATGCTGACAGTCATGACCGATAGATCTGTTTAGAAAATCTACTTCTGTAGTAAACGGGATTAAAACTGATTCAAGTCATTGCAAAGAGGTGGGAATAACTTCGATACTACAGCTCTAATGCCCCCTTTCAATCGCTTGTTAGTTTTTCGTAACTTTATCTGTGGCATAAGTATGTGCTCGATAAATTTAAACAAGCGACGACATTATAGTATCAAGATCAACCAAATATTACTAACTTGAAACATCTAATCATGCTGTAAAACTCAAGTTGACAAATCACTTTATTTTAATGTTTCTATGTCTGGCTTTATAGTCTCATCAATTTATTTGTGTAAACCGTTTATTACTTGTTATATATATCCGGGTAGAATCCCAACAGAAGCTAATATGATTTGACAAGTTAAGATCTGGTTGACATGTTTCAAAGGAAGGCGATTATGCATTGTGGTGGCATTCTCTTAAATAATTTGTTATTCGCCGGAATGTTAAGTCAATGGATACACTGCTTTCAGTCGGATCAATAGATGAATTAAGCCATCTGGTAATCCTACAGGTTCTGAAGCCTTGGTGGAATCTGAGAAAAATTCCAGAAAACTTTAATGTGGTTTGACAATATAATGCTTGTGATATGTTAAAGGAAGTTTTGATTATGGCGGACTGGGAAATCTGTTTGTTAAATGATATGGTATAATCCTGTGGTTAAAATGTAGTTACTTAAAAGTCCAAGATTTATCTGTCTTGTAGTCGCATGGATACTGATGCTTGCTTCAACGCTTCTTTGAACACGTGGTAATTGCAATTATTGTCACTGTAATGTATATTTGCAAAGGCATAGGACAGGGAGATTGACCATTCCCTATCGCTGAACGTGTGGCTCATTAACCAGTATGTCCAGGTGTTGGTAGAGTAGAAAGAGTTTCGAGGTTTGGTTCGAAACACCAGATCAAAAGGGTGATACACTAATAATAAACAGTCGAGGTTATGGAGACACACTTCAACAGAGAGGACAATTATTGTTGTTTTGTTTTTTGAACATTTCATATCAAATTATAGCGCCGTTCGGAAATGATATACTGTACGGGCCTATCTTAACCAATGATAATCTCAAGAATTTCATTCCTCATTTGTTTGTGTGACTTAATGACTATCACTTAAACCGCAAAACGGCACTTACACAGTGAAAAATTCCATATTAAGTAATTTTGGGATTCGAAGATGATTTGCTGTACAGGCTTAGGTAACCCATGATAATTTAAAGAAATGCATTCCTCATTTATAATATGCGTGATTTAATAACCATGATTATCACTTAAACCGAAAAACGGCAAGAACATACAGTATAAATGGTTATCTAGACACTTATGGTGGCTTATGGACACTCTCATTTGGAAACTGAAAGTTGATGTTTCTTAAAAAAGAAAAGTATGCAGTATGACACAGGATAAGGACAGCAGTGGATCCAGATGTGGATCTCCACCCTCACCCTCCACCTGTAAATGACGGCATAGACACCCTCTTATTCTGTTGTTTCTATGAAACGTATAAATTTGAATTTTTCATTGCTGAGGATGATGTAGCTGATCAACTTGAATGTTATATTCGGGTCCATATAAGCATTATAAAGCACCATTGAGACCCAGAGCCACCCCACCCCCACCCCACCCCCACAATGCATGGAAGAGCGTTCGCTTCAAATGAACCAGTTTTAATAAACATAATATATCTGGATCATCTCCTGTAATAGAGTGACAAACATCATGTATACAACTGTTTCTGCATCATGTGAACCATTCTGTAGTTAGCTTTCTATAGAATTTAACCATGGGTACACTTGCAGATTAATATGAATATTTTATATCAATATCTATTGTTGCGTTTATAATTATGCATGGTATAGATAATCATCTCTATTAGCTGTAGGATACCGTACAAAATCGATGGTTATTTGATATATGCAAATGAATAGTGACTATTCATTAGCACGTGAATAACTACCAATGAAATATTTAATCATATACATTGATGATGTCAAGTAATTAATCAGTTTTAGTCAAATTAGTATTGCTAGTGTCAGTCTTTGTGTGACATGTCGCTGGTATGTCAAATAACCAACTGTTAATTACACTGGCATCATGTCACTCGACATCAGAGTTACATGGAACACTTACAAGGTGGTATAATTACAAACGACAGGACATGGTGCTTCTCCTTATTGATAAACATAATGACTATTGTTTTGTCTTTTCCACTGTGAATGTAGATGCTATGATACGGGTATTAATTTCAGATTATGATTGACAGGCTAACTGGAATGAATCAGTACGCATGCGTCTATTCGACTGACGTGTTGGATTAGACACAATTTGAATAACATATTTAAACCTGAATAATTTGAGTGATGTTGGCTGATAATATGAATTTTTAGCAATACGTTTTTTTAATTTAGTTTTTGTGACTGGGTCGGATTAAAGGGTGTATAGCTCTATTCTTTGTAACATTAAGATAAACGAAAATTGGTCTAATAGCACATATAAATGTAATATGAATGTATATAAAGTGATATATTTTCAATGTTTTAAAGTATTGTTGTAATTTCTCATCAGTTATGTTCGTTGAAATGCGTGAATTGTCTAAATTGATCGATATTTGTTTACTCCTGCTCAGTCTATTCTACACGTTGTTTTTTATTATTATTTTTATTATCACCCATTACAAATTGATTCCGCATTGCATTATATTTTCTTTGTTCGTTACAGATGGCGCCCGAACCCATAGAATACACGACCCGTGTACTGATTATACAATATTCATTGTGTCTTAAATATTTGATATTAGGGTCCCATATTTTCACAATAAGATAACACCGTCAGTATTGATTGAAATGGACCAATATTGAATTCTAATTCGTGTTTTTAATTTCGAATATTATGGAAAATATTGAGTTAGAGGGTTACCTCCTGTAAGCTAGTTTTGGGGCCTGCAGAATATGTTAATATAAAGAGACTCTAAACTATCACACTCCCTTTAATTTATGTGTTAAAAAATAATCCAAAGGATATTTTTCTATTAGTACCTTCCACATGGCAATTGCTCAAAGCCACATTAGTGCCCAAACGTTGTAAATGATATTCAGCCAATATGACTGCAACCTTTTAAACATGCTTTTACGTTAGAACTGCTAGCATGTAGCAGATATCCATTTCAATGCAGCTTAATTTAAACCGTCGATACTGAATATTCGTATACTTTTTTTTCTGGGGTTTTTTTTGCGTTTTTTTTTTTGTTTTGTTGTTTTTTTTAAATGTATTTAGTCTTAAAGTCAGTCTTACATAAACCGCCTTTCAGATGACCTAAAAGAGAAAAAGGGTAACCAGCTTCTATTTTGAATTCTACTCTAAATTCTGCAATCAACACTGTTGGAAAAACGACATAGAAAGAATATTTACATAGATGGTTAAACTATTTATTTTCCAGAATAACCTTTTCCCCTGGGTATTACACAACATTAATAACCATTATTAATGCTACTACTATAACTACCTCATATAAAAAAAATTGAAATAGTGACAATTGGATGTCCTGATAGACAGGTCATAACAATAACAATGCAGGTGATTCCACGGGCTAATGGAATTACTTCATGTTTATTGAATAATATGAAGAATATTCATCATAAACATAATAACATAAAACCCTGGTAATATTACTTTTAGCAAGAGTAGATCACTGGAAATATTAGATTTTAATTCTTACATTATTACATTTCATGGCAATAAACAACCCCAGATAGACGATATTAAATTTATTGAATTTTCATTTCAATAAAAAAATAGAAACTTTTGAGACTCAATTTTTCCACGATCGCTAATAATACGAGTAAAAGGAATAATGGAGTTTCCTTTTTAATCCATCGTCATGTAATGTCGGCTTTATTATCGCTTTTATTACAGTGACTTCAACGAGCATGATTAGATATTTAATGATACAATTGATGGTTTTATAGCTTGATATTATTAAACAGTTTTATTGCTATTTTCCTGTAGAATTATTCTTTTAAATTCAATGGATTTTTTTTAGTATACGGAGCAATAAAATAAATCTTGTTGAATTACTAGTCACACGTGCAAACTTTATTTGTCTCTATTAGAGGACGTGACATTGGTGATTATGGCGAAAAGAGAAAAATGTAGCTGATAAAAGCTTATGTGACTATCGTTTTAATTTAAATAACAAAATTACTCCCGTAGATTGTGCCAGAGAAGGGAGACTTCAACTTAGTGTGCCCAACCGTTTAACCGAGGGAGCCACGGTGGCGCAGTGAGTAGGACGTTGGCTCGTTAATCTGGGGGTCAAGTGTTCGATCCTTGCGTTGACCAAGAAGGTTCATCGGGCTTTTTTCGGCGTGGGCCCCCCTTGTCAGTGGTGTAAGACGGAGGGCCCGGCAAGGGACAGCGTTTTGCGGTTCGGATGGGAGGTCCCATGTACACATTGGCTAGCACGTAATATAACCCCTGACAGCTGGAATGTAAAATAAGAGTAGGCCGTAGCGCCGCTGTAAGGGCAAAATTTCCCTCATAGCACACCGAAGTCGGAGCAGAACAGTAAGACGTTAAACACCATTTCATTGCATTTCATTTAAGCGTGTTCCCAAGTAATCAAAGTAATAATCCGAACTGAACGT